TTCATCTATCAAGCGTACAGAACAGGAACAGTGATCTTGAGGAAAATCATCAAAATTCCACCTTGAGAAAAAAGAGTTACCTTCAAAGTGATGGTTCCAACAAAACCAGATTTGACAGCTACTGGAAGTTTCAGTGAATTGAGAGCTTCCGCCTTTAACTTCAAATCTTTAAGAACAACATCACCTAAAAAGCAAGAAAACCCAACATCAAAAACAACAGCCAAGGGATTACATCTCTATATATGTCGTCACTTTTCATAAATCATGATTGGTCTTTGCACACACAAATTTTCAATACACCCAAGATACATCTATATAAAAATTTTACCATAAATAAAAAATCCAACCTTTCCAGACACTAATTCTCAGAGCCTCTGTCGAGAGTCCATGCACATATTCACCCAAATACCTCCGAAGCAGATGCAGAACCTGAATACCGAGTCGCAATTATTAGATACGTCATTCAATTACTTAAGGTAGACATGAAACTCACTTAAAAAAAAAAAAAAAACTCTACCTAAGAGCAAAGATTTCCAGCTGAACATATCACTACAATTGCAAAAATTGTTATGTTCCTCATTTCTATTCAACTAATTACTTCTCCAGTAACAGCTACCATTGCTGCTCTCACAGATGCTAACAAAATTAACAATCCATAGATAATTCCAACACATTCCTATACGAGGAGACAAGCTAATCAATCACCCAGAATCACGACATCGAACTAAACCAAACACATAACTTCTAAAACTAGAACACCAGAGAAATAACCGGTAAAGAACACATCCCAATCCCCAAAATTAACACATAGAAAACGGCTTACATGAGCTTCGAACATGGCGGCGACAAGAAATTAAGCTCGGAGCGAAAAATGGAAAGGTTTTGTTCAAGTTTGGTTGAGAAAATCGAGGATCATCGAGATCCGAGAAACGAACCGATTCAACATTAAAAAGAGGGAAGCACCACGATCTCAAAATTCCAGAAATCAAACAAGGGTTCGTCGAATCTCAGTGATCGATCTAGCGAGAAGAGAGAAGAAGCAAGAGACTCGAGAGAGATAGAGACGGTTTGTGAAAAAACGAAGAGAGAGAGAGAAGAACGAGACTCAGGTAATATACGTGCCGGTCCTAAGCTATTTGTATTTTGTATTTTTCTACTTTTTTCCGGTCAAATACACTTTTTTATTTTATTTTTTATATTCAAATTATAACATCTTAATTTACTTTTGACCCCTGATATTTCTTAAGGTTTTTACAATTATCCATAAACTTTTTATAGTTTCAGAATTGTTGAGCTTTTTAACCACATAATGAATTGTTTTTGTGATTGATTGTTACTTGAGTCTATTGTTAGGGGGTCATAAATATATATCCACTTTGAAACAAAATCTTATTTAGTAAGATTCCAAGATATTTAGACAAATGCTACGAATCTTTTCGATGTCTTTAATCATGAGGTTTCAAAACTTCAACAAATAGGAGCTCTTTTGCATACTTCTTCCGGGGTTTGGGTGGCTTATCACCACCAGAGGTAGGCCTTGGACGTTTCTGCCCAGTTACATCACTTTCAACTTCTTCTGTCGTCTGAGGTTGAACAGGAGGTTCAGTATCTTTTCCGACGTTCACGTTCTCCTCTTCTGGCATCTACAGAATACATAAACAAAGTATAAACAAAAGAGGTTCAGTCATACAATCTATAATCAATGACTTTCAAGTATAACAAAGGTCGAACCCTAAATTTCTGGATGAACAATGGAATCCAAAACCCTAACATTCTCACAATCGAAGATTTGAGTAACATTAGGGTTTTGAATCCCAATTAATCATCCAGATATTAGCAAATCGACATTAGCTTATTAGCTACCAAGAAGAATGAAGAGCTAACCTCTAACACTTTCTCGGTTACGGGTTGAATTTCGGAGAAATGGGAGTAGAATCACGAGGGTATGAAGATGTAGAAGTGTAGAAGATGATGAATTGATGAAGCTAGGAAGATGAGATGATGTTTAGATCAGAGAATAAGGATGAAAACTGATGAGATTAGGGTTTAGGATTCCACTCTCTGTTTTGCATGCGGCAAAGGCGAAGAAGAAGAGAAATGAAATTAGGGTTAATGTCTTAGGATTAGGCTTATATAGGTCTGCTGCGAATGGGCTTAATATTGCTAATGGGCTACATAAAACCTAATATTGCTAATGGGTTACATAAAACCGATCGGGCCGATTACCGAACCGATCCGACCCAAAAACCGACCCCCCAAATAATTGATTCCGTTCGGTTTGGTCTCCTCAATTCGGTCTGTCCCGATAACCGAAAATTTTGGGTTCCTCGGGTCGGTTTGATCGGTTCTTACCGAAGTCCCAGGGCTACTTACCATTGTCTATTTTTGATTGCCTTAATTATGTTTAACAACTTCAAATTTAATTCAATAATTAAATTATATTAAAGATATTATGTAAATATTGTTAAGATACTCTATAAAGTATCTAAACCATTGAGGATGGTCTAAGTACTACAAGAAAGTGATAATCTAATAGCTAATACACAATGAAAAGCTTTAAAAAGGAACATTCCTAACCTGATATCCAAATATAAACACTAAATTTTTAGTTATATGTTCAAAAGTTTAAAACTACGAAATAACATTAAATTAGTGACCACGTACAAGTTTTTTTCACCTTTATGAAACATAAGGGTGGAACAAGAATTATCATGTTCATGATTTTGGATATACGTAGTTCGATTTTGCATCCTAAGATCCTTTATTTCAAGTTTTAGACCACAGCCTTTAACTCGTCCGATCCACTTCTTCTAAATATTACAATGACTACATGTAAACCTTCATAACAATATGTGATGTGTGTGGCAAAGTAGTATGTTTTTGAACCAAACAAATTGATTCTCAAATCGTTGAAAACTCAAAAAAAAAAAAAAAAAATAGAGTACTTCTCTAAGAGCGGATACCTACTAGAGGATCGCATTCATAGTTGAGGATTGAATGTCCCTCTATCATGTTTACTCTGTAACTCGGTATTCGGGATATATGTAAATTAACTATGCGTCCATTGTGATTAGTTGACTACTCCAAAGCGGTGTGGATGTCCCTATTTGTTATATCAAATCTGTCTCTAGCCAGTGAAAATACTAGTGTGGATCAAAGCTCCTATAATGAACCTCAAGTATAGCTATTATTTGCAAGACCATCCTCAAAGCTACCGAGTAAGAACTAAAGAGAGGAATGCTCCTTAACACTCTTTTATCTCCCAACAGGCCAACATTACTCACTTTTGGTGAGAGAGATTTAGCAAATTATGAGATGCAAGTTGGCAGGTCTTGATCGCCCAGGATTCCTCGAGTCACGATTGCTCGTCAACTTTAAGCTCAAGTTCATAAACAAGATACCTTCCTAATCACTCTATGGTTTGGAGAGTTTCATAATCCCTCTCTTCGATAGTCATGTGTGCATGTGTCATTGTATGTAATGTGGATTGTTTAAGTTTATGGCTCTTTTTACCATTTCTTCTTATTTTTCCTCTGTTTTTAAGTTACTCAAAATGATGTTTCTGTAAAAGAACACAAAAGAGACATGGGAATATAATACGTTTAATTTTAACCACAAATATATAAAATTTTCAAACACTTGGTACCAGCCCCGGGTTATAGGGTGGGGTGGAGGTGCGACGGTCTGGGGCTTTTAAAAAAAAAAATTACATGTAGAAAAGGCCCAAATAATTTTTTTTTATATTATTAATATGAGAATTATATTTTAAGATGCCTAATTTTTTTATAAAAATATATATAAAAAGGCCCAAAATTTTTAAAATAACAATTTTCATTATAAAAATCTGCAAATTTTAAAAAAATTAAATAAATTTTCTCTTTATATATAATATTAGGCCAAAAAAATTTTACCCTAAGACCATCCGCAGTGGTGTAAGTGTGAGGGGGGTGTAAGATTTTTTTATAATTTAAAGTGAGAGAGAAAAGAGAGAGAGAAAGAAAGAGAGAGAGTGTGTTTTACACCCGAGTGTGAAGAGAGAGACAATTTTTTTCTTTTGTTAATACCTACACCCGACGACTAACACCCGAACGCTTGCCCCACTGCGCATGGCCTAAGGCTCCCAAATATATTGGGCCGGGGCTGCTTGGTACGATAAACTAAACAACAATGATTTTAAAGAAACAAAAAGGGTTATACTTATATCATACTCATGTCTTCTTGGTTCTTACGTAGAATCATAGTAGAGTACTAACAAATATTTAAAAACTGAGATCGAACCCAAAAATCTCAAAAGCACAGGTCAATTTTTCTATGTGAACAAAATATATAATCTTCTTAAATAGCACAAGACAATTAGCAAATACAACCAAGATAAGATCTTAGGTGGATACAAGCCCAAAAAGCTTAATAGATTGAGCCAGCATAGCCCATTGTCCAAAGTACTTTTGGCTAGCAGTGAATATAAATTTGGGATTTTTGTCAATAGTGCCCTGAAAATGAGTTTTAGTTTTTCTAATTGCCATTTTAGAAAACTCCTTTCTGAAACAGGTCATTCTGCTTGATTGTGGCACATGTAAAAGACATATATGTCCTTCTAATATATGGAATGAAAAACGATGGATGATGTGTGACATATCTGACATTTTGGGCTAAAATGTACAATAGCATTTATTGTGGATAAAATATTATTATTAAAAATAAAAATAAAATAAAGATTAGTTTTACCAGAAAAAGATTGAAATCTCTGGTTAATTTCATGGACCAGATTTTATATTCGTTTATGAACAACATAAATGGTGTTTAATTGAAGACAAAGGTGTGCTTATCGTGGACCAGATTTTATATTCGTTTATGAACAACATAATCTTTGGTTTAGCTTGTTTACAATCTTAGACAAGCAAGATAGCCAGTTTATCAAAACTAAAAAACGGCATCAACGGATGGATCAGAGCTCGTGGACTAGGATATCTTTAGACCACCATTAACGGGGGTGGCTAATAGTGTTCTTAAGAAAATCTTAGCTCAAAATTTAATGAAAAACCATGCTTAATGTTAAGAAACGGGGCTTAGTTAAGCCTCAAAATTAAAGCTAAGAACTGTCCACGTGTCAAGTTTTGGCCCGTGTTTTATTTTCTCTGAGATTTCTTTCATCTCTCTTTCTCTCCCCCTCTCCCTCCCTTTCACGAAACAAAGACGATTTCATCTCTCCGACGGCTTGATTCGTCGAATTGAGAGTAGCTCTTGGGAGGAATTTCGTGTATGAGCAATCGTTATCTCTACTCTCCGTTGTCGTCTCACTCTCCGTCAAATTCTCGCAACTTCCGCCGGAGAAATCTCTGCCACTCAGCTTCCTTCGTCGAATTGAGAGGTGAAATGAGTGGGGATTGCATTTTTGATCCTTCTGTATCATCATCTGCAGGAGAAATGGTACGAAACTCTTTGATTTCTCTCTGTTTTCACTGCATCTTTCAAAAATTAGGGTTTATGGATCTGTCAAAAATTAGGGCTTTTTACAATTGGGAATTGACCGTATCAAAATTAGTGTTCTATGATGTTTGCATGTCGTTTTCAAACCAAATTAGGGTTGAATTTTGTTAGCAGAAAGTTTTAAAAAAAATTAGGGTTCATATGATGTTAAAAGCTTGGGGATTCGTTATTGATCCATTTGTTTCCATTTAATTGGAAATATCAGCATAGCAAACTAATTTGTCACTTCTGATTTTTTTTCAAATAGTAGTAATTACCTAGCAGATGTTTGTTTTTCGTTAGAACAAATACTACCATTCAATTTTTGGGGGCACTCTCTTTGTAGAAATATCAATGTCAAATCCCGAGAGGAGAGACAATGTCTAGAGAGATGGTTTTTGAGATGTTATTCTATTTCATGCTTCAGTTACATGTTGACATTTGTGTTTGTTTAATTTTGGCAAAACAGAATCAGTTTATTGGTTTGGTGTTTTGAATGAGTTTTATGTTTGTTTTTCAGGTTTGGTCTCTCTGTCAAGCATCGGATAACTTGTGTTTGTTTAATTTTCGTAAGTATCGGAACCAAAGCTAAAATGAATGAATGATTGTACATCTTCTACTCCTTTCTATGAATGTATAAAAATACTTGTATATATGGTTTCTTGTAGTGAAAGACATCTAAATACAAAATTTGAATTTTTTTTGAACTTACTCTTAACCATTGGAGGACTTTTTTTTATAGATATTCTTCATTTGTTCTTAGCTTAGAAATAAGAGAATTTTAATATAAACAATTGTTAAGATCCAAGGTTAAGAACCAACCGATATTCATGCTCTTATATCGTTATTAATGATGTTGTAACAATGTTAATTGTAACTGCAGGTCGTGGACAAAAGTGTAATCGACGAAACATAACGTTAAAGTTGCATGAACATCAAAACAGACTGGTCCATTGAAATAGATAAAAGTGGTCCAAAAATTTATAAAGTCGTGGACGACAAAAATAAAAAAAATATAGTTTACGAATTGTCAAAGGATGAACTTACAACAACAAAAAAAAAACTAAAACCTAGCCTCCCACGATTTCGCTTATGTTTTCTTCAGAGGTGATGAAGAAGAAGATCTTCAACGGAGACGATTGAGTGTTTCTCTAAAATATAAACTAAATAGAACTCTTACATATTATTATAAAATATTACAAATAACTTTCATTTGAATTTTGTATGTATTAGACCATACGCAATGGCGTACTCGATACACAGGTGTAAGTAATAAAATAACATGTTTTATTGCAAAAGTTGTCTGAGAATCGAAATAAGGGTGTGAACTTACACCCCGGTTGTTAGTCCCACGTGACAAAATCTATCTCTCACTCTCTCCTCTCTCTTTCTCCACTAATAACCAAATCTCTCTCTCTTGAACAAAAATAATAATAAATATATTATCAACATCTCTTAAGAAATATATTATCAACATCTCTTAAAGAGATGTACCACTGCTGATCTAGGAAGCACGGAAGCTTCGTCGGACGTCCGCTTCCCGCTTCGGAATCTTAGTCGGAATCGGAAGCTCTCGGAAGCTTTCGGAATCTCGCTTCCATAACGCTTCTAAAAAATTCATTTTGGAAGCTCCTTGGAAGCTTACGATTCTATTTTGGAAGCTTGCGATTCCATTTAAAAAATTTGATGTCACAAAATAAATAAGAAATATGAAATTAGGTTTGATAGTTTTTTTATACAACAAAAGAAAAACCAAAACTAATTTTGCATACTAATTTTGTATTTTATTTTTTAAAATATCATAGTTAGAAAAATAATAGCAGCATGGATCATTTATTAGAAAGATGTTGAAATGATTAATTGAATTAAATTAATTTTGAGAAATTTGAGTTTGATGATGTTTTTATTGGTAAAAAAAAATTAAAACAATTTTATTTGATGGAATTAGTAAAATGAGAATGAAGAATGATCTTAAATTTTTGACTTTGAACTATTTGACTTTTCTCTATTGTAAACGTACACTATTTGATTTTTAAATATAGAGAGATATTTAGAATTTATGTATTAGATTTGTATGTTAATTATAATTTTTTATATGATATAATGTTTAATGTTTATTATATATGTATATATATATACAACATTCCACAGGAATGGCTCTTTTGAGTTCTAATTAATTTCGGATGACAAAAAAAAATGTATATATATATATATATTAATTTTTATATACGTTTCCAACACGTACCCACTTTCTATAATTTCTATAAAAATCGCTTCCACGTTTCCAAACGCTTCACTTCCGCGTACCCGCTTCTGATTCTATGCAACCTAGCTGCTGATGCTCTTACAATGCTGAGTTGGAGAGTGAGTTAATGCTCAACAGAGCTGTCAAATCGTCCATCTCTATAACATAAAACAAAGGTATTTTGGTCTTTTCGTTTAAGAGAAATGGCATTTGCTATTACTAGTTTTTTTAATGGCATTTAAGAAAATGAAAGTGTAGAAGATGGCACTTTTGTTAAAAATAATTTGGTTAAAAAAACATACACGTTTTCAAAAAAAAAAAAAAAAAAAAAAAAAAAAAAAAACATACACATCGAAACAAGTTTAAAGTATTTCATACATCATATTGTACATGACTGTCGGGGATCTATTTCAAGTACTTAAAGTATCCTCTATAATATCAAATCTATGATTTCTCTCGGCCTTTAACTATCTCGCTCTCCACCAACACTCATTGTTGCATACTCTGATGCAACTTACATATTATCGAATCCGGTCAAACACCAACAAACAAAGCATATCCACATTAACATTCACTTTGTCCTCGAGCAAATTGTTCTTGGGAAAATACGAGTACTCCATGTCCAACTAGAACTTCAATACCTGGACATATTTACCAAAGGACTTCCTACAACACTTTTCCTAAACTATAGAACGAATCTGAGCTTTACCACATTCTTACAAATATGTTTTTTTTTTCTTTCTCAACACTTACAAATATGTTAATTAGTAAGAAGCAAATAACTAAACATCCACGAAGCAGACAAGAACCTTTGGGTTTCTTTCACTGTCTTACCGAGCGTGAACATTGTCGCCAAGCCGTCCAAATCACAATAAAAATAATGAATCTTTTAAATCATTACTAAGCATCAAATCAAATCTCAACGTTATGAATAGATCATTAACCTAAAAATCCACCAACCCGTGACGCATCTCTGGAACAACATTCATAAGCCCGTGAGTTTTGAGAACCATGAACACGTGGCGATCCAACATTTTCCCAATTTTATGTCATATACAATCTTTATGTTACGTAGGATTTTTCGTAAACTATAGTCTATGTCCATGACGTTTGAGTGATTATAGATCTAGCAAAAGTATATATTTTATAAACTATATATATGCAACAACTTTCTACTTTTATTCACAACGTTTGGTAGCTGGGAAATAAAGGCCATTTGATGATCACGATTCGGTGATTTATCTCGTTATGATGTACACTCGTTAGTGCTTGCTGCCAATTAAATGGTCACGTATGTAATTTTTTTAAAAAATGAAAACAAAGGATAATGTTAGTCGTGGTATACCGTCCAGTCGTCCACACAACAACACTTATATCTTTAATCTCCAATAAACACAAAACCAAATGCCATATATAACCATACCTATATAAGACCTAAAATGCGTACGAAATGGTCGAAACCATTTATCGTTGCTATAAATTATTAGCTTTATGTTTTGTAGCAGAAAATATGGTTACCAGCAAAACATTTATAAGAAATCAAAAATAAAATGTGTATATTATTTTACGTGCTGTCACAAAGACATAAATGTACACACAAAAAGTTTGATGTAACTTGGAATATCTTTCACAGTTTGCGGCATTTAGATTTGGAACAACCACGTGTCGCGATTTGGAGATACTTCCACGTGGTATTAAGTTGAGCCACAAGCCATCATCAGTTCATCACTCAACAAATCCTTTTGGTAATAAGTGTTAAGCACGACCCGTGAGAGATACATGTGACATATAGAGACGAAAAAAATAAAAAGACTGATCAAAGCTTTAAATTTTGTTTCTCATTCTAATCAAATAACTAAATAACTTTTGGGAATAATGGCTTCGACTATTTTTTGTTTTTTTAGTAGGACTACATATGTTTATGTCGATTACAAATGAATTGTATATTTATGTTCATATTGATTATAGATATTGGATTAGTATACCGATTGGGTTATCCGGTTTAATTAATTGTGAATAGTATACGGTTTAGTACAGATTTATACTTGTATAAATAGCAATGTAATTCTTCTTCTTCAAGCTAATGAGAAAAATTACTTTAACAAACTTTCTCAGATCCTTATCCATAATATGGTATCAGAGCCATCCAGATCTCAGATCTGATTTTTTCGCCATTGTTGATCTCAATCTAAGCTTCTTTTCTCGATTGATTTCATCTCACAATGGTGTTTAAGAAGAGTGTTGTTCGCAGGCCAGTGAAATCGAAGACTGCAGCCAACTCTCCTTCGGTTCCAGCTCGGAAAATGACTCGATCGACTGTCATCGCCAGGTCTCCTCCGGATACTCCTCCAGCTGCTACTTCTCAAGCTTCTGGAGCTTCGCGAGCTGTGGTGATGTCAGATTCTTCCGATCCAAGTCAGTCTCCCTTTTATATGCACCACGCTGATCATCCAGGTTTGACAATCATCTCTCTCCATCTTGATGATACTAACTATGATGATTGGCGTGCTGCGATGCTTATTTCCTTAGATGCTAAGAATAAGATTAGGTTTATCGATGGTTCTCTGCCTCGTCCCTTAGAATCTGATCTTAACTTTCGTCTTTGGTCACGATGTAATAGCATGGTAAAGTCCTGGCTATTGAACTCTGTTTCCCCTCAGATCTATCGCAGTATCCTCAGATTGAATGATGCTGTTGATATCTGGCAAGACTTGTATGGTAGGTTTCATCGTACTAATCTTCCGAGAACATTTAATCTAACTCAAGAGATTCAGGATCTCCGTCAAGGATCCATGTCCCTTTCTGAGTATTACACTACTCTGAAGACCCTTTGGGCTAACTTGGAAAGTACTGATGAACCTGATGCTCCATGCACTTGTGGCAAAGCTACTCGTCTGCAACTGAAGGCAGAGAGAGCTAAGATTGTAAAGTTCCTCGCAGGTCTCAGTGATTCTTATTCTATCATTAGGAGACAGATTATCATGAAGAAAGTACTTCCTAGCCTTGCAGAGGTCTACAACATTCTTGATCAGGATGACAGTCAAAGAGGATTCTCCAATATTCCTACTCCTCCGGCTGCATTTCAGATGTCTGAGAGTGTTAATCCCTCTGTTTCTTCATCTCTGTCTGAACCAGCAATCTGTTATGTTACCTCTGGACCTAATAAAGGACGTCCAATTTGTTCTTATTGCAATCGTGTTGGTCACATTGCTGAAAGATGCTACAAAAAGCATGGTTTTCCTCCTGGATTCATTCCTAAAAGTCGTACTCCAGAGAAGAATCAGAAATCTCAGCCTGTTGCTGCACAAGTTGCCTTATCTGCTACACCTGAAGCAACTCATGCTAATTTGGACAGTTTAGTTGGTAATCTCTCCAAAGATCAACTACAACAATTCATTGCTCTTTTTAGCTCTCAGCTTCAACTTCCTTCTGGTAACAGTGGTGCTAGTCCTTCTCAGTCTG